GGGAGCACCTGGAGTGGGGAGCATCTGGGGCTGAGGAGCACCTGGAGTGGGGAGCACCTGAAGCTGGGAAGCACCTGGAGTGGGGAGCACCTGGAGTGGGGAGCACCTGGAGTGGGGAGCATCTGGGGCTGAGGAGCACCTGAAGCTGGGGAGCACCTGGAGTGGGGAGCATCTGGGGCTCGGGAGCACCTGGCTCATCAGGAAGCAGAGGCGCTTGCCTCTTCATTTTTGGAGTCTCTGTGTCTCTGAGGAAAATTTAGAGAACAAATTCGGCCTAAAATTTTACCCCCTATGAATTGGTCAGAATTATTATTACTTTTCATGTTCATGTGCTAACGTTTGCTCTGTCTTTTTAGATGGCTATCCCAAAGAAGAAATGATTTATAGATGGAGAAAAAATTCCGTGGAGGCAGCTGACCAGAAATCGTGGCGCCTTTATCAGTTTGACTTCATGGGCCTGAGAAACACCACAGAAATCGTGACCACGTCTGCAGGTAGGAATGGACTCAACACATAAAGCTCTCAGAACACACACACGTGTGCACACACACGGATGCACACACACAAACACACGTGTGCACCCACACGCACAAGATGTGACTTCCCCCGCAGGCTTAAGGCTCTGGGTAATCCCGTCCTTAACGTGGAATTCTAACATCTGTCTTCAACTAATTGTAACAGGGCAGCCAGATGCCTAAGTGACGTTTGTGACAGAATCACTGATGCAAAGTGAACATAGTTTTAAGTGTTTTAATTGGGATAAGAAAAGAATGATTAGTATTGATTGGTATTTTTGACTCAAGACCGCATTTGCGTTATGTCTATAAACTTAGCAAGGACTCCTCACTGCTGACCATATTTATAAAAACCAATCTTATGGATGGTGAGAGTTCTCCACATATTTCCACACACATAAGTAGGATCGAGTGTTACTGGGAATTCACAAGTAAAAGAGGCTGGTGTGAAGTGCCTTTTGAGTTTTAATTTCTAGCTTCTTCCTTTCCCTTATTGTAAACTATATTAAACTTTGGATTTCATTGTCAGGAGATTATGATAATTACCTAACAATGTGATTTTATTAAGTGATCATCATTCTATGCACATAATTAGATGAAGAGAGACATTTTGCTTACTAATGTATTTGAGAGTGTTTCTGTTTTGCTTCTGGTCTTATGCTGTTGTTATTTTTGGTTTTGGTATTTAATTTTCCTATGTTCCACTATTTTACTAGTGATTTTTTTGGCAGGGTATGGGATACGGATGGGGGCTAAACTCAGCTTTTCTACTAATCTTAGTATTTGTTAATATGAATAACTTGTTGGCTCTTAAAATTCCGTGATAATTTGTCTTACTGGTGATGAGATTAAGGTGTTAACTTTGAGGCTCAGTGCCTGTAGCTCAGTGGCTCAGGCGCCAGCCATATATACTGGAGCTGGCAGGTTCAAACATGCCTGGGCCTGCCAAACAACAGTACAACCAAAAATAGCCGGGCGTTGTGGCGAGTCCCTATAGTCCCAGCTACTTGGGAGGCTAAGGCAAGAGAATCACCTAAGCCAAAGAGTTGGAGGTTGCTGTGAGCCTTGATGCCACAACACTCTACCAAGGGTGACATATTAAGACTTTGTCTCAAAAAAAAAAAAAAAAAAAGATGTTAACTTTGATAATTAATGGCAAAATTGTTTAAAGAATAGTCTGACTTCTTGGTAGAATTTTAATAGTGATCCATTTACATATCAAGAAAAGTCCTGGGAAAGCTGGGGAGAAAGAGAAAAGATTCCCTTTGGGTGCTGCTGGTGGTAAAGTTGAGAAATGGGATCTGTGTTTAAATATTAAACAGTGATAAGGTTAAAAGAATGGAAGACCACAATTTATTTAAGTCAACCTTGGAGGCAAGGTGATGAGGAATGTTTGGGGGAGACTTGTTGCCAGTCAGGAGTCATCTACACAAATGATCAAATTCCTCTCTCTGCGAGGCTGGACAGTCCCAGCAGGACTTTGGGGTGTAAGCCTGCCCAGAGAGGGCCACCCAACCAGGAGGATTGTTCCAGCACTTGAATCCCAAATGCTGCCATTGTTCTTCCTTCCCCAGAGTTCTCTCTGTTTACCCAGCCACATCCAGTTCGGCTGTGCTGTCAGCGGCTGACATGGTTTGATGAATGCCACGGAACCATTGCTTGCTAAGAGTGATGGCCTTTCACAGCGTGTGGAGGTCGTCCCTGGGTTCTGCTGGCATTACACAGGATCCCTGTCAGATAAATGCCTTTTTTATACACACATGTTATTCCTTGTTTTTAATCTCCTAACTCGAAATTATGCTGATGGCAGTAACACATACTTGCCTAGTCCTTTTCTTCTAAGATTAGAGCATCTGAAACACTATGAACGTGCGGTGGGTTCTCACAAATCACAGAGAAGTTTGAAGAGGATGGATGTGGTCATTCCATGTCTTTAAGCCTATGTAAATAATTCTACCAGAAAGCCCTATTTGCAAATAAGGTCACGTTGATAGGAATTGGGGGTTAGGACCGTAGCATCTCTGAGTGAACAGTTTGAGAGAGCCCAGCATCCTGTAGAAAGTAGCATTTCAGCCATGCCAGGAAGTGAGACTTGCTCTTTGAATTGGGTCCCTGCTGTCATTGTCCCCTCCCACCCTTCCCACCCCAAGCAGACCACACACATTCCCCATGGAGAGAGCTGGACTCTGGGCCAGCACTGCTGGGGGTGTAGCCCACTGACTGGCAACCTTGGCATCTCCTAGGAGGGGGTAAGCAATTGAGATCCCTAGGCCTTGCCTCAAACATTTCAGAATCTCCCAGACTGGAGCCTAGGACCTGCAGGTAAGTCTGATAATGCTCAAGTTTGGAAGGGGCTGGACTGGGCCAACTTTAAAGATTACGACTGGCAGGCTGTGTAAAAATCACGTGCATGTGAAGTCACAGCCAGTGAAGACTAAGCTTCCCGCTAAGATTCCAGCCTGGCTCAACAGCCTGCCGTGCTTGTCAGGTTACTGACGCTCTCGGATGGTCTTCATGTCACTGTCATGCCCCCCTCAGCCTTTCCCCAAAGACAATGGCAGTAGATGCTCCCTGCTGCTAACCAAAGGCTGCTTTGCACATGAAATGCAGACTTGTACCAGTTTGATGGAAGTAGTTCGGATTGCATGTGAAAACCCCACACTGTACCCCAGAAGTGCATTAATGTACATAGTTACCATTCAATAAAAAAAAAAAAGAAATTCAGACTTATATAAAGTGTCTGTCTAGTCTACCTACCAGATAGGCTTTTATATCTTTTGTATGTCTATAGGCATATAGATATATGTGATTACTATATTATTATTATATTATTATATTGCTACTATATTATTATGGTGAATATTATTATTCTATATGTGTGTACATATATACACACATTTGTAGGCTTTTATAGGTATATACATATATATGTACATGTATACACATATATACCCACATATATACATATTAACACATATGTACATATATACACGTATATAAACACATATATACCTATATACACATATATACTTATATGCACACATATATATACACATACATATGCATATATGCCCTCCTGAGATTAATAGGCAAAGAATTCAAGAGTGTATATCTTGGAGTTATTAGAAATAGATCAGAGACAGGACATTCCTTGGCTTTGGTTTTCAATAAATTTTATTCATTAAAAACAAGCTAAATGTTTATAGATCTGTGCATGGGTTGATACACACATACATATTTCCTTGCTCTGTCAGGGGAAAGTTCTAGAAGCAACAGCAGCCCAGGAGGAATGAGCACACTCAGTGCAAGCTCCTGGCTTCTCACACTGTTCTCTAATGAAACCACAGGGCTCCTGGGAGAAACGGCAGACTGTGAGACTGTGGGGCGAGGGCAGGGACTGTGCACGGTAAGCCTGAGGAATCTTGCGGTGCCAGTGAGTGAGAAATGCTAGCAACACGCTACACACACACACACACACACACACACACACACGAGATGACAGGCGTATGTCCCGGAACTGCAGCCAATCAAAAGACAAAACAATGGTCAGCACTAAACATGCAACAGCAAAATAAACAGAGTAGGACTGGATTGTAACCCAAGTATAAAATAAAACCCAGGAGTCCTCACTGATATAAAAAAAAACCCCAAGTATAATCATGGTCCCAGAAATGGAGACCACAGAGAAAGAATTAGAAGCAACATCTAAAGAAAGAACAGCTTAGAATTCTGTAAATGGATGGAAATCCTGAAATCACACACTCAAGAATATTGCCAAGTTCCAAAGATTAATATAAAGACAATCACTGAAATGCTGGCAACCAAAGGCAGAAGCATCTAGAGAATAAAAAGACACACCACCTTCACAGGGGCAAAATTAACACAGATGCCTGACTTCGCAACAGAAATCACACCAGCTGAAAGACAATGGAATTCAAAGTGGGGAAAGAAACAGAATTTTATAGCTAACAAAATAACCAATAAAAATAAAGGTGAAATGATGTTTTCAGACTGAAGAAAAATAGGGGGAGAAAGAGAGAAAGCGACTGGTTCTGTGATCTCCAGAGCAAGCTGCTTTGCCTTCTTTAGGTAAAACCTTTATGTTTTGGGGTTTTTGTCTTTTTTTTTTTTTTTTTTTTT